TAAATTTCAAATTGAGTGTTTTGATATACTTTTTATATTAAATAAGCCATATAATAAATCAACTTGTTTTGATTGACTAAAAGAGATTTTCACAACTTGAATAAAAAGTTGTATATAAGCCTTTATATATATCTAATAAATTTGTAAGACAATAAGAAATATAAGAATTATGTTTTAATTTTACATTAAGATTTACAGATAAATCCTATTTAAATTTTCTTTTTATATAGTGATGTAACATTTCAATTTGACTAATTATATTTGATTAATAAAAAAAATTTTTTATTAAGAATTTTATATATATACAAAAATTTCAAAATATAGTAAATTCAAATATAATTACTTTTTTATTTAAAATTCTAACATTTGAAGATGTTAAACTAATCAAGTTATCAAAAACATCATAACTATAATTACAACAGGTTGAATACGATCCACTTAAATCTTCTTGATATTGGTATTTTTACTAATTTTGCCACAAATGTTACTCTTTTAATTCCATTTGAAAAATTTCTGAATATTATTTCCAAATTGCAGATTTTATTTTTTGAAGATAAAGAACTGGTAAGTTAGTTTTAGCGTCTACTTTGTAAGAACTCATTGTAACAATTTCTTTGTTAGAAAAAAAATTTTATCCTGTTTTTTGGCCTCATTTGATATATGATTTGGTTGTTCAATAGGAGGACATCCTGATACATTAAGTCGTGCATATTTTTCGGGCTTCATTCAAGGTTCATGATGATGTTTTTATCTAAATTATTGATATTAATAATCTATTTTATTATCTAAAATCAATATTTATTTTTATACTTACATTTAGCATTTTCAACTGCTCCGAACTATAATCTTCAGCAATTATTGAAAGAATTCATCATTTGCCATTAGCCCTTTTCTTATTATTTTCAATTGCTTTGGTAATGGTTGTAGTCAGTTTTTTCGTTTGCTTAAATGAATTCAAGGTACATAATGCCTCAGGTTTTTTTTGAGCCAAATTTGCACATAATTCATTCTTATATAATATTTGCATTGTTTCCAAATCCCTCTTCCAATGCTCAAATCTCGTCCAAAATTCACACTTCGATACATGCGCCCTCCATGTTTTGTTAAGGTTCCTTTTTTTAATTTATATATTTATTATACGTCTTATGCCAAAAATAGGATTCACAACGAAGGTGCGTAAAATTCTTTATAATCATTTAAGCACAAGAGAAATGGACTGTCTTAAGATGGATTAGTAAATCGGGTTAATTTAATTTTCAATAAATTTAATAATAATAACATGTTTCATATTAAATTATTAAAAACACAATATTTACTGACTGATTCCTTTGTGCTTTTTTTAATTGGCTTCTTTGTCTTCATTTTTAAAACGTTGTGTTACGGTACCGATAATACTATATTTAGGAAAATCACGTATAACAAAACTATGACGCGTCGCGTTGAAATGTCAGAAATCCTAAAAATAAACTTTATCGGATTTTTCCTTTTAGAATATTTAGATTAAATCAAGGGAAAAAAAAAACTCAAAAGCTCACTTGTCAATTTAAACAATGATATAAAATTTTATTTTCGCATTGATTATAATTTAGGGTTTGCCGATCCAATTATCGTATATAAAACCGTACAAACCTAATTCAAACTCCATATCAAAAATTCGCAAATCTTAAAATTCCGCAGCACAAACCTTTGAAATTCATTAAACGAATAACTAAGACCTAAATATAAAACCCAAATATAATCCTTGAAATTATTAAACTTATTCGATTAAATATAATGAATCTTGAAAATCAAAGAAATTACTTTGAAATGGTTAAAACAATGGCAGAATGTGGATGTAAAATCTCTCAATATTGTCTTAGTGGTCTTTATGAAAGAGGGGAAGGAACGGAACAGAATTACGAAAAGGCTTTTTATTGGTGCGAAATTGCAGCACATAACGGTTACAAATATGCGTATAACGACCTTGGATACTTATGTGAGATAGGTATAGGAACGGAGATGAATCAAGAAAAAGCGTTTTATTGGTATGAACGAGCCGCACAAGTCGGATTGGAATTTGGTCAAGATAATGTCGGTCGTTTCTATGAGACTGGTCAAGGAACAGAAAAGGATTTGTTCAAAGCTTTTTATTGGTATCAACGAGCATCATTTATGGGGTATCAATATGCACAATATAACCTTGGTCGTTTATACGAAAAGGGGGAAGGAACTGTAAAGGATTTGACGTGGGCTATTTATTGGTATCAACAAGCGGCAAAATCTGGTCATCCTTTTGCACAATATAATCTTGGTCGTTTATACGAAATGGGGGAAGGGACTGCAAAGGATTTGATGTGGGCTATTTATTGGTATCGACAAGCAGAAAAATCTGGTCATCCTCTTGCACAATATAGTCTTGGTCGTTTATATGCGGGAAAAGAAACGAATGGTAGTTTAAGACTGGCCTTTAAATGGTATTGTCACGTGGCCGAGCAAGGATATAGCGCTTCACAAATTAAAGTTGATCTTCTGTTTGAAAAAGAGGAAGGAGCAGAAAAATATCTAGAAAAGGCTTTCTACTGGTATCAACTAGTAGCAGAAAACAAAAACGCATTTGCAATGTATAAATTAGATGAATGTTATGAATTAGGATATGGTATTGAAACGGATGAATTTAAAGCATTTCAATATTATCAAGAATCCACCAACTTCGGATATCCAAACGCAAAGTTAACGCTTGGATATTGCTATTGGAACGGAAATTAATAAAGACAAAGGATTGAAATTATATGACGTGCACGATGATGACATGATTAGATAACACAGACAAAGTAATCATGAAAGATTAGAAAAGAATATAAGAAAATTTTGGAAAAAAAAAATTACTTATCTATGGCACTTCTTGTTATATAATTTCGTTCATATAAATTACCAAGGAATTTTTACCCTTACTATTTCCTGCCTTTTCTTTATCAATATCACTTTGGGTTCGATAAATTTTACTTTCAATAAAATAAAAAATTTATTCATCAACCAATCATCTGAGAGATAATTTTTGCGATCTACGCTCTTAAATTTTGTCTTGTCTGATTTTGGTAATTGTGAACATATTACCCCGCCTTTTCTCAGTTAGTTTACTTTCTTCAAAAGATATATATTTTTTTAATAAATTACATTCCGCAACGCAACGTTTGAAAAACTTATTGAAACTTTGAATGGTAAATAAAAATATATTTATATTTCCCTTTATATTCAGTATAATGTATGATGATGTTCTTTTTATCATAGGGTTTAGGCGTCATTTTTCACACTCACATTATCAGAATTGGACTATCTGATAAGGAAAAATTTAAAATGTTAAGTGGAATTGCTTATGATCCCATTTAGCATTTGGTGTGGTAGTAATTTTGAAATTCTATTTGATTTATAAATAATTAATTGTCGGATGTATCTTATCATCTTAGTCTTTATCCCATTATTTCTCGGTGTTGAAATACAAATTCTGGTCGTGTAGATATTGGCTTTTCCGGAGATTGACTGCTTGATGAAGGCAACAATAATTCATTTATCATCTGGTAGAACTTTTTTTTTTCATTTGTCTTGAAATTTTAATTCTAATTATGTGTCAATTATTCTATTCATGTTAGCATGTACTTTCTGATATTTAAACTGTGATCGTCTTCAGCATCTTGTTAATACCAAATGATAGAATAACAGAAACAGAGATCTTGTTCATTTTTGCCCTGCATTCTTATCATCTCAGGAGGATGTTATAATTGCTGAAGAGGTGTTCGTTATCAACAGGCAAAGATCCTTTATGTAGTATTGGTATTGTGAACTTAAGGTTACGAAGGAAAGATGCGGAACAATTACAGATAAAGCCAGAAAATTAGCGCATTTGGGTAAATTTTATGAAGTATTGGTTTGGCGATAATAACATAAATGGCAAAGGTAATACAATATTGGTGGTAATTTGGGCCAGACAGCAACGGTACGTAGTTTATAAAATTTTTAATTCTCCTTTTTTATTTTATTTATTTTTTTTTTTTAAAAAAAAATCTAATTTGTAGAACTGTCATATTTGATCGATGATGAATCGAATTAGGTCAGAGGTTACACGAGTAATTTTTTTATAATAGATGTATGAACAATATTATAGAATTAAATCCTTTCTATGGTTATATCAGTTAACGGAAGATCGATAATTATATATTGTGAAAGAAATAATTAATTAAGCCATAACGCGCGAAAACAAAAAAAAAAATAAAATAAAAAACTTAAAAAACCAAATATTATTCTCAAATACGAAGTGTCATTATCTGGTTTTGTGTAGATTTTAACTAATTGAACAATTATATACTTTATAACACACTTTGTAGAAAAAAATTCAATTCATTTGATTAATAAATAATACTTGGGTTTAATTACGGAAAAATTATTAAATTTATTGTATTTAAGTATAATAATAATATTAATATTAAATATTTTGTAGTAGTCAAGTTTAATAATCGTAAAATAAATTATGAAGATATAAAGGGAAGATTAGGAAGGTTTTCTTCCGATAAATCTAAGTAAATAGAAGGGGCTTTATATTTAATAACTTCCTCTTCAACGAATGACCGAGATGAGGAATCGCCATTATACATTTAAGTAACTGTTAAGAGCCTATAATTAAATGGTTATTTGATGAATAATTTTATCTCTTGAAAAAGAAAAATAAAATAAAGAGAATTTAACTTGATAATACTTACTAATTTCCCTTCTTGATCCCAAAATTTGCATTCCATTTCGAAATGGTCGGTCTCAACAAGATTAGCTTTTGATATTTCTTCCATTATCGAACATATCAAGACATCTATATACCTTTTTCGAATGGATTGAATTATTAATTTTAAATTAAACAGAAAATTTATTTATTTTTTTTTTTTTTAAAAAAAAAAAAAAAAAAAAAAAAGGGAATAAAATAAGAAAGGTCATGTACTTACATCCAAATTAATTTAATTCAATAAACCCACCAGGTTTCAGAATCCTGGTGGGCAATTCGAAACTCCAGTAAATTGGGAACTTGGATACTCTGATGCCAACTCGAGAATCCATGATCCCACATTACATCTAAATTAATATAAGATTTTGATAAGTCGAAGGAGATAACAAATCTGAACAAACTTACCCAATTTTAGCATCAGAGATCAGATTTTTCAATAATGACGCAGCAACGTTACTTTGACACGCGTCTCGAAGAATAAAATGATGCCGGTGTACTTGATTAACTAACAAAATAAAAAACCTTTACGGTTAATTTTTCTTGCAATATACTCGCTGCCGAGAAAATATTCACCTATGGAACCATCGCAGAAACAAAAAGTTATTCATACATACCTCCTCCTTCATTCGGGAATGGATATTGCGAATTATTATTATCAGATGGCATGAAAATTGTTTGAAAATAAAATATAAATTTGAAAATATTAAGAAGATAGAGAGAGAAAAGTAATATAAGGAAAAAAATTATTAAAAATAAAAATTCTTTTTTTCGACTTTTTTAAATACTAAATTTTTTTCAACATGACTGTTTCACAAAACAAGGAGCAAAGCCCCCAATTATTTTGTCCCAAATTGCTTATTAGTCCGGAGCGTAATATATGTCCGCCCGCTCAAAATTTGAGTCGATACGTGGTTGTTACACTTGTTCCTACCTAGTGCAGTACATTCTCGAAGAAAAAAAAAAAAAAAAAAAAACCGTTAATAATTGCACGTGATCGAGGTACATAGGTTTATCGGCAAAATTAGAAAACATTGCCTTGTATAGATGTGATGGTTAACTGTAACTTGATCATGTGATTGCCGCGATTCACACATTTCAAACGCGCGTAAAAATGTTCGTTTGAATTTCAAATTATTAGAAAAAATGAATAATGATATTTATTATAGCACTAATAAATCATCAAACTATGCCAAAAACTTTTATTCAAATTCTAAAAATTAATATATTGTAGTTACCGGAAATGGAAATTGTATGTCCAAATCACGTGTATTCCGATAAATTTCCCGCCACCTTTTTGGGCAAATTCAACATCATCTTGAAATAATACTTATTTACTTTGTATCTTTCACATGTAACACGATGAAAATGTAACTTTCCCAATTTGCCATAAATATGGAAATGAAAGCCTGTCATTCATGAATAATGGTCATCATTACACTTCTGGTAGCAGTGATGCATTCTTTGATAAAAGTTGGCAATCCAAAAAATGTCGGTCATTTTGCAAATTGTGGACAAGACATATTTATTGATGGTCAAAAGAGTTTCCTGTGCCACTTTCATGAAATAAACTACCGTAATATCAGCAATAACTAGTATTTTTGATATTCGTTGATTTAAAAACTCTTGCATCACGTTCTGTCATTAAAACACACATTCGTGTATTTCATCTTCCCATTCATTCAAAATGAATTATGTTTAACTTGCGCTTGCGTAAATCAATGCTTTGTTCATCTTTAGACGCATTTCGGAAAGACCAGTAAGCTTTATCGTTATACATGTCTCGTTATACCACCAGAAGATCGTTTGTGAATTTTATAATTAGTTCTTCAGTCGAAATGCAGTAATCAATATCTTTGTTGAAGTTTAACTCATTGCTTCTATCAACATGATCAGGAAAATTCTCGAGTGTAGGTAATTTTCACTATTAAGAATTTACAAAACTCTACGATTCTGAATTTTTAATTATATTCGACGTTTCAAAGCTTCAAATTACACTTTTATACACTAAATTATTTGAATTATTATACCCTTTGATAATAATGAAAGAAAGCAATTGTGTGGTGTACGATTCATCCAGCTTTTAAAAAAATATTTTAATTCCTTCGCATATTACATGACATATATAAAATAATATATCACGTAATAACCTCTCCGACTTTCAAAAATCGTCTAAAATAGCAAATAATTAATTTCGAATAATATATATATTGAATATGATAATCATAAATTACGTACTCACGACGATTTTTGACGACTCATCAATGTCAGAAGATATGTTAAAAGATTTAGTATCGCGTAATGTTGATGTTCTAGTTGAAGAAACCCCCGTAAGTTAAGTGCGTTGTAAGATAACATATTTCTAATCACAATTTGCCTAAAATTCGCATGATATAACTAAATTTAGTTCTACTCACATTTCTTGAATTATGACGCCTTCTAAAACCTACTACGTTTGTGATCCAATTTTTTGAGCTAACGATGTCGGTGTATTAATGATAAACTCTCTGTTGCCATCATATATAGCAGCAGCTTTCATTTCCACCGCCTAGCTCAGTAAAAGCAAAGCATCCAACAATGTGAAGCTTGCGCCAGGAATAATATATCTATGATGTTTCAGTTCCAAGTTGAATAACGATTTCACCAAAAAGGTTTCACTTTACATTATAAATTGTTTTTTATTCAATGAATATATGAAAACACAACTTTATTAAAATAAAAGCGTAAATACCTTTTTTTCTCAATGCTGAGATAAAAAATTGCTTATTAACATCAAATAAATTATTTATTAAAAAAAAAAAAAAAAAAAATTTATGAATTGAGAAAGTAAACTAACTGTAAATAGAAATAGAAAAAGCGGGGTAAATCTCCAATTACCAAAGTCAGAACACGAAGATTTTTAAATTAATCATTAAGGAAATGACGCGCTCAACCACAAGGTCAATCGTTCGTAACGTTCGGCACTTTCAGCAGCGATCATTAGTAACACCACGACTTCTAAAAGAGTAATATATTTACGCTCTCAGGCATTCTTTCCTTCAGAAAACTTAACAGCAAATATCGATATAATTACTTTCCAGCTGAGATTCAGATTGCTGCTCTACTAATTGAGCATCAAAAACTTTTCGTCTATGTCGCTGAGGATTCTTTCAATATAGTCGAGAACCAAACGCTGTTTTCGAGCAGTAGTGTGCTGTAATGGCGTCCTAACTTTATGCGGATTCTTCGTATAAACGCGTAATTTTAACATTTCGAAGAATGGAGAAAATTTTCAAAGTCGTGTGCGGATCAACATATACTAAAATAAATTGAGTTTACGGATCAACGTTTCATCATCTTTATCCTTACGAATACATATTGCTATTCCCGAAGAGAATATAATCGAACTCCTAAATAGAATACGGAAGAGGCAGAGCCTGTGAATGATCATGTTATTGATGAATTATATTGAAAAGAGAATTCCAACTTAGTATTTACCGGAAATGTATGTCCGATAATATCCTGTAAGTATCATTTAGAGAGACGGTCATTAATTTATTTCTTGTAAATACTAATTAACATTTATATGAAAAAGGTTTAGGAATGGTTGATCAGAATATTATGGATAAATACGGACATGGTATTTATCATGGGTGCTTGATACAAAGAAGGAAGAACGTGCAAAGGTATCTTACTTGTATCAAAAACATTTATCATATTTATTTTATTATTATTTCCAATTGTCTTTTATTTTGACAGAGAAAAACAGTAGAATGTGCATACTTATTTTGAAACAGATAAATACATCATGTATGCGATGCCTCTTAAGCAGACGTTGGAATATTGGTACGATATTTCTTTTTATATTAATAAGAAAGATTGGAAGAAAATTTCGTATACAAAAATACAATATTACCATTACCATTTATTGAAATTGACATTAAAATTTTCACTTTAGGTCAACTGCTAGGAAAGGTGAAATTGAAACGGTTTGAGAGATGCGTTCAAACATGTGAACATGCCGTTCTTTGATGGTTGACTTTCAAATTAAGAAGACGAGCATAGAGATTGTTCCTGACTTAGTACTTCAAGAAACTAATGAATTCATGGTTTTTTACTTACGCTCTTTTAATTATGATTCTTGGAAAAGGATCATCCCAGGTTTTAAGAACCATCTGTTGTGGATTAAAAGTAGCCAAGCGAAATGGAAGAATGCTGATATACAAGCTTTATCAAACGCCCAACTATTACAAGTCCTTCAAAAATATTATTGAACTTTAGAAAAAAAATCATTAGAATGTTTGGGATTCAATTTACTAAAGATTGGCGGTGATAATTGTAATATGAAAAATAGCTTCGCAGTAGGATCTCTCATTACATGGAATTATTATTCTTTAAAAATATTTAAAAATATAATGTTTCATTAGTAGGAAAATTGGATGAAGAATTGCATTGTAAAAGCATTTAGACATTTCTATTGGCAATCACATGATGATAATACACTATATTCTATACGTTTAAGGATAAAAACTCTCATTACATTTAAGAAAACCTTTATAATTACTGTAATCAAAGGAAATTCAGTTTCTGCCTTTCAGCTTGGCTATGTATATGAAAGCAAAAGGTATTATAGCTCTGTTAGTAATACCCCTTCTGAAGCAATTAACTTTTTGTATCAAAGATTATTCAATTCAAAAACGAGATTTTCTTATCTATTAATATATAGTTATAATAATATTAACATCTTTTTACTCATATAATCATAGTAAAATGTTTATTATCTATACTGTATTCTTTTACTTTTCATTTTTATTATTTTATTAAATATTTTAAACAGAATTTTTTAGTATTAAAATTTTATTTATCATATCTTATCATATAATTAATTTTTTAATAATATAATACTGGTAAAAATCATATAAAGTAAAAAGTATTAGTAATATTATCCGAAATATTTTTATATAAAACATTATATAAGATTTACAATTCATAAACTTTTTATAATATTATATAATAATTACATTTTGCTATGATGTTTATATGATTTACAATCTATAATATTTACATAATATTATATAAAGTAAAATTTTAAATCAAATTAGATCAACTTATTATTTGATTTGATTTGACCTGAAAAATTCAGATCAGGTTAATAGATTTTTAAATTAATCTTAGATCAAGTTAACCTATTACTTGAGTTAATTACTCATTTTTCTTAAACAATAATGAATTGTTTAATTAGAATATTAATGAATTGTTCAAAAAGAATGATGATAAATGGTTCAATAAACACGATAATAAAAGGTTTAATTAGAATGATGATAAATAGTTTAATTAGAACAATAATAAACATTTTTTAAATAATAACAAATTATTTAATTAGAAATTCATTATAATAGAATTAATTAAATATATTAATAATTGTTTATTATTATTATTTTATAATTTAATAATATTTAATAATATTTAATATATTTAACTTATAAAATAGAAAAAATTTTCTTTTTAGTCAAATTAGATTAATTTGACTTGTTAGATAAATCTGATCAAATCATGTAATAATCAGATCAATATAAATAAGAAATTTAATTTAGGTTAGATTTTTACTTAATTTGATCTGACTTTTCAAATTAAATGATTTAATTTATCACCTAGAATTCTAGATTAAAATATATCTTAAATTAATAATTTATATTATTTATATAATATTACAGATAAAATACTATGTATGATCTATAGTAGTATTGGAAAATTAAACAATTTTAAAAGTTTTTCAATAGATTATAAACACATTTTTTTATGTTTAAAACCTATTCAAAATATTTAAAATCAAAAAATGTGTTTAAACTTAGCATTAGTTTAAATTTTATAATATTTATATATATAATCAAAGTATATTATCTCTTAAATTATAAGTATAAAATTATTTATAAATATTTTAGAAAACTTAAAATATTTTGATATTTAATAATTATAAAAAAATGAAATAAAATTTATCATATTAAAATATATTTAATAATAATATTTTTAAATTTTTAAAATTAATAATTATTAATATATATATCAATTTTTCAATTTTTCAATTTTTAAAATAATATATCATGTAATAATTATTTAAAAATAAAATTTAATTTATTGGATTTATCTCATTAAAACTTATTAAATAATACTATTTTTATATTTTTGAGATTAAAATTTATTATAAAAGTATTAATTTTTAATAATATATTTAAAAATAATTAAAAATAATTTTAATTTATAAATAAAATTACTTATAAAATTATTGGCAAAAAACAATTAAAGAGATAAGATTTATAGTCTATAATTATTAAATTATTAAGAGTAAATCACTAATTTTTAGATTTAAAAACTTATATAATTTGATGATTTATATCAGATTTTCTTAAGAAAATTTTAAGCATTAAAAAATTTTAATGAGAGTTACTACAATAATATGCTTATATTAGAAGATTACAATATATTGTATTAAATATAAGATTAGAAATTGATCATTTTATTAAATAGTAATATAAAGTAAATATTAGTTTATAGACTTTTTATTTTTAGTAGTGATGACAATCTTAGAGAAAAAATACTGTAAAATTATTTCTGTATTACTACTTGAACTAATTAAAGTATTATATAATTAGTTTAAATATACAAATGATGTGTTAAGGTCTTCTCATTTTAGATAAAATTTTGAGTAATGAAGGTGATTAAATGAATCAGAGAAATACAAATTTATTTATATAATATTTTAGTTATTCAAATTAGAACTGTAACTGCCATATGTATAAAAGGTATTTAAAATGAAAAGAAATGTTTTAAAAAAATGTGATATATAAATAGAAATAGAGATGGTTCAAAAGAGCAACTCTGAGTCAGTTTGAAACTGATAATAAATTTAGTATATTCTAGATTTTCCTGAGTTATAAAACATTTTTAACTAATTTTAAAAATTGAATCAGATGATTTTCTGCAATAATTAAGGATGAATTCTACATGTAATAAAAGTTAATTCTATGAAATTCTTTGATTTAACCAGAATTATGCAAGATCAGCAAACATTACGATTCGCAAATTCTGGTTAAACTTAATATCAGCCAGCATTACGATGATAATCGGGCCAAAATTTTGAAAAATTATCGTGAAATTCTATGAAACACAGAAAATCATCGTCCCTGCTTCTGGGATTCCTTAACGTACACCCCATGTGTACAGTCTTTAATTTACATGCTGACCGGCATTGTAGAACTTTGGCTAGCATTAAAAAATATAGGGGGTGACATAAAGTACGTGACAATTAGGATTTTTATAAGTAAAAAAATTCTCTGTCCCCCAGAATATATAGTAAAAACGAAACGCAGAAGGGCGTGATACTGGTTGACATGTATAAGCATGTATATTAAGATCGTACACGTGGGGTGTACGTTAAGGAATCCCCCTGCTTCTAAGTCGGCTCAAAATCGGATTGTCATCAAATTAAAGATGATAATAACCAGTCAAAAAATTTTTTAAATTGAGCATCACATGATGCTCTATAAGTATAAATTTAACTTAACGCTCAAATTTAATTTACTTAAGTAGAACCGAAATGGAACCGA